TCCAAGAATCAGGTCGAGTCGTGTTCAGCCTCGAACCCCACCTCAAGCAGACCTTCTACGCCGAAGTGATGTATATATATATATACACACGTTCACTTATACCAAAAGGATACTGTAGATGACCATTTGCTGGGTGATGACATCCTGTGTACTGTATTTGACCTCCCGACCCAAGGATGAGTGGGCACGAAAGTTCATGTGTGGTGATTTGTGACCAGTTTCCAGAAGTCCGCGATAGTGCCATTAGTGCCTCTGCTTACCCTGCGTTTTTGAGGTGCAGCTATGCGGCAATTCCTGGACCTTCCTGGACATGTAGACGAGGAGATCAGGCGATCCACCCATGCGATCGGTCTTGCTTTGGTCAATAGGCGCAGCGAGCACGTAGGCTCTTTGCTGCCCCGCTTGAAGGATAGCACAGGTGGTTGAGCCACAGGTGATTGATGACGAAGTGCATTCTTGGATTCGGGAGCTTCCGTTGTTCCAGGCAAGTCCAGCCAACTCCTGTTCGAAGTTTCGAAGATCCTCGTTTTGGGGCACGGTGCCTCAGGTTGAAATCCTCCCTGAGATGAACGGCTGACATGGAAATGACTTGAAGACAATAATAGGAGTGCAAGGGTTGACTGGGTTGACAAACAACTCCTTTGTCTTGGCAATACTATCAGCTATGCTGTACGAACATTTCAATTAGATTGACCGTTGCTTTCAAAGTTGCTCAGTTCGCGCATCGGTCAGCACGCGTTTCAGGTGAGCGGTGTTTGTGTGAGCCCTGAAGCGAATTTGGTCATGGCCGTGAGCCCAGACGAGAAAGCCTGAGTCACCAAGAAGATGAGAGAGTTGGATTCCACTGAAGTCCACTCTGGGAGGGTTGGAAAAGGATTTTGCAGCGGAAGAAAGATAATACAGAATAAGCAAAAAAATAAAGTCACAGGTCTAAAGATAGAAAAGAAACGAAATAACACATGAACAGATCTATAAGTGGTCGTGCAGCTGTGCACAAGTTGATGTATTCTTGACGGGACTCAGTGTCTCAGAGTGTTCCAAGGTCACACACGAGGAACTGTGGGCCTTGTGGAAGCATCAGTTGTCCTTTGAGAAAAAGGTCAATACATTTGCGTCGTCCTTTGAGTTGCTGTACAAGTGGCCACTTGACTTGGCCCGGGAAGCACTATGTACTTTTGTTTGCAGCATATTATAACTGCCAGATCAAATGCTCCTGTCTCCTCCAAGGCTTCTAAGCTTCTCGGGATAAGAACACCTAGTCGTCACCTAGCCACTTTGGTTTGCTTTAAACCTTGTGAGGAACCTGTTTCTGGTGCAGGACTCCACCCATTTGTCAAGGCTGGGGAGAGTTTGGCTGGACACCAAGCACTTTCGATCCTCGATCCTCGCTGCTTTCCCATGGCCTCAAAGAGTCCCACGGATACAACCTGTTCAGAAGGGCGCAGGGGACTGGATTATTCATCGTTTGGTGTTCCATTCTGGACTGGATTACCTCTCAGGTCGGTGGTGGAGCCCGATGAGCTTGGTGCTTTGCATCTTTGGGTGGCCACAGCGCTGCTTTGCCACCCTGGGGATGTGTTGGGTGGCCCTGCAATGGCAGGCACGTGCTGGCGATGGCACTTGGAGACGATCCTTCTCCCAGACCTACGGTATCAAGGTGCCAACGGATTGCTTAAGTCGTAGATGGCACGGGTGTGCACGGGTTGCATGACCCCGTAGTGTGCTCAACTTTAGGTACCCGGGCACTGATGCACAATGCTGCACAGGGCACCTGTTAGCGGAGCAGGAACACTGAAGCAATTTCTACCTTGCACAGTTTACAGTAGAATTTCGACATGTGCGTCTCCATGTCTTTTTGATAAAACATGTTCTTCCGCAGGCAGTTTGCATGCATAATTTGCTGTATTCTGCGCTAGTAATTCTGAGGGAAGTTCGGAACTTCAGAACAACATATAGACCACAACACCCAAGTCCATGCAACCAGCAAACAAAGTGAGCCCCATGCTTTCAAGGAAAGCACTGCGCACCTGTGATATTTGCCAGCTTACCAACTCACCTAATGGCTTGTTTTTTCTGTTCTAATTTATATAGATGTCGAGTCGAGTGAATGTCAGGTGCGGTCCCTTTGCTGGGAGCCTGAGACGAGGCGGCAATCTGCAAACGTTTTGAGGAGCCTTTCCAAACATATGCCTGCTGCAGCACATGGGAAGCACATGCGGCTGTTGAGCATCTCCTTCTATTCTTGGGAAGAACACAGTCTGCTGCAACCCCCACCACCCCCACTAGTAGTTGTACTAGTGCTACTATTATCGCTGCCACAACCATCACCAAGCCTCCTGCTCGTACTGCAGTGACAGCTGCTGCTATTGCCACTGCGACTGCGACTGCTACCGCTGCTCCTACTACTGCTGCTGCTGCTGCTACTACTACTGTCCTGTCACTATTGTTGTGACTATTACTAATTATTTGTCTATTCCATTTTTTGCTACTATTTGCAACGATGATGACAGGAACAGCTGCAACCGGGATTGCAACTCCAACTTAAACACTAGCTGTTTGACCTGCCACCTGCCATGTGACCCACCAGTGACTCTAACACAACTATACAGGACATTACGATTCTTGTATACTTTGATTTGAAGGGAATATAGAGAACGCACAAGTGAGTGCCGTTCACATTTGGTCCTACTCTGTGCAGTTAGGCAGATCTTCGTGGGCCTCGAAGATGGAAAGATAGAGGTGCGCATTCCTCCCGACTAATTGGCACTTTGACATGTGAGAGGTGCAAGGAAAAAGGGTGAGGCATCAATTGTAGACACTGCAAGTGCTTGCCAAGTAAGACTGGTGGAACCCCTAGGTCGCAGGACATTTTGCAAACAGCGGTACATGGTTGTGAGTCAAAACCCAACATGCGAAAAGATGTGGAAAGTCTGGTTAATGGTAAACGGTCCAGTCCATTTTTGTTCTTTTTTTGTGGTTCAACCAGAATTCGCAGGTCTTTGACCCACAGCTAAATTGTTGGGCTATTGCTTCCTCTACACTTCCAATGATCACCACTGCGCAATGTGGCCAATGAGCTGCCAGGTCTTTCATCTCAAACCCGGCGAAGTGAAGCCCGAGGCTCTTTGTACAAGAAACACTGCGAGCAGATCCATACAGCTACTTCTTGAAGAGCTTGATGCAGGATGATACAGGAATCTTTGCTTTCCTTTTTCGAAGGGACAATGGACCAAGGGAATCAACTACTTTTGGGAGGTTTGGATTTTCTGGCACTGCTGCGACTTCCCCACATTATTTGTGCATGGATCATGGACCCTGCTGTGGTAGCCACGCAATCAAATTTCATCGGAGGCGGCGGGAGCACTGGAACTTCATCATAAGAGTCCAGTGACTCATCTCAGCGTTTCTTCCAGGTGAGGACTTCAACGTTGCCATTTCTCAGCGTCCGATCTACTGACTTTACTGATGCAAGCCAGCCAGGGCAAAATGACACAGAAAGTCGCATGGAAGTCCCATATGCAAGCGTGTTTGAAGGCTTGCTATTTATGAGCACTCGCATAAGCACTCGCATGAGCACTCGCACTGTTGCAACCTTTGCGACCTCATTTCGATTTGGGCCTTCTGGCCGTGACACACGAATTGATTTCCGGTTCGGCCAGACGTTTGAAGTTTACTCATGTCGCACAGCTAAACGGTTTTAAGCTACTGTATCTAACTTCTGATGCTTCATTGAAGGCGACTTCTGTCTGTGGGCTTTGACACAGCAATGCGAGTCATCGATGTGCATCTCGGCCAAAACCGTGGGTGAATCAGCTTCCGAATCAGCTTCCGCGCGGCGCCGGACGCCGCTCGAACAGGCGCACCCGGGAGCTTCGATGCGGCGGCCGGCTGCTGAAGCGACTGCGCAGTCCGGGCATCCCAGGGCGACTGCGCAGTCTCGATCGATGCTGCAGGAGGTTTTCAAGTTTTACCGGACTTCACATGTCCATGGCATGGAGTTTGTTCCGATTACAGGTTGGTAAATGTATGATATATGTAAGAAGGGTGGAAATGAAATTACGGATGATTGGTAGACTGACTAGAACTGCAAGACTTCAACAGTACCTTTTGCTAGCATAAGACGGTTTTGCAGGCAGTGGCCGAAAACAAGACCAGATTCTCACTGTAAACCGGTTCTTTGACCGACCCATTCTGTCATGGCAATGGGTTCGCGATCCGGCGACGAGGTGAGATGGACTACTTAACAAGTTGCCATTTGGATGATGAGCATGCCATGCTCTCAGTGGAAGTTTCAACTATGCGAGTTGATGAACGTCCCTTTGGGGCATGACAGCTGTATGAGGATCGTGCCTTCATTGGCACCTCTGGCGGGGCTGAGGGCCTAGCAGACTCAACTGTTTGAAGACTTGCTTCTGTTCATGTCGAACCCTGTGGCTTCTGTAGCTATTGCATGGAAGGATGAGAGTTTCAACTTGACAAGCCATTACCTTCGTTTGCGGGTCTAAGTATGAACCTGCCTCACAATGCCCATTTCAGGATGTCTTTGTTTTGGACATCTCTCAGAATCCGCCCAACTTTCTCCATATGGTGCGAAGCTTAGTTGAAGCCGGTGCCTTTTCTGGATGTTTTTCTCCGAGCCAGCACCTGCAGGTTGACATGGGCTCGAAGCCGGTATGTGACATGGCCCTCACCCAGGACACAAGGGACTTTGCATCTTGTGCAGATGTTGCCCTTGTTTTCGACACAATGCCAGCATGCAAGAAACAAAGAGAGACCAGCTTTTGGATCAAATCATTTGGGCCAGGAGCACTTCTTGGTGGCCCATAGTGACTGTATTGCCGCGTTGACAGTGGCACCGCGAGGGGAGGACTACGGAGACGGCGACCGAGTTTGGGAGTCAACGGAGTCACCGTCCGGTCCAAAACGGCCCGGTTGAGCACGGTGACCCAGAGTTTTTTTGGTAGAAAAAGACCATCCACCGGCGACGGCAGGAAAGTCGGATGGCTCGGCTGGGCAACTACCGCGTGAAGCATTTGCACGAGTCAGAGGTGGGAAGCTGCGTGGGATACATGTGGGCCTGTTCAGACTGTTTCAGAAGGATAGATGTGGGCCTTGGGTCATGGTGAAAGTTGAACGCCCCGAGAATTCGTTTCCGCGGAGTACCTGGAAAAACAACCTGAGGCAAATCGCGGCTCTAAATGGAAGTAATTGTATAGTACCAAGAAAAATCTGGGCATCAGATAACATGCAAATGACGAAGATGAAGGAGGAGAAGACGAAGAAGATACTTGTACCCTGACAATTGACATTGATATGGGTGGGGGTATTGGCCAATGCTTCCATACCAAGTCAACATGACTCAAAGTTTTCACTGCATGCGGCCAGGTCAGTATCCTCTCTGTCACCGTGGCTGTGCAACGTGACTTGGTCTTTGGAGGCACCGGGCATGACGGGTTAGAGATGGTGCTTTCATGTGTGACAGATGCCGCAGACCATGGCATATCCGTGCCTGCTCAAAAGGGGCTGAGGAGAGCGTGATCATTTTCGTGTGGCTTCCCCGACGTTAGCTCCAACTACTCAAGGCCTTCAAAGGGCTACATACTTTCTGATCTGCAAAGTCCGCCTTTGACAGAGCTCTTTGATGCCATCACACATGCAGAGGGAAAGGGAAGCCTCGTCATTTTGAAAGCAAAAAAACGCATGGGGAGGACCACTACATCTTGGATTTCATTTGTGGTGTGACGGCATTTGGTATGGTGGAAAGCGAGGAATTCTTTCTCCATGTCAGCTGCCATGTTCCTGCACCAGTTGCTCCAGGACTTGTAGCCGTGTGAGCCGCATCATCAAGCGAAGATGGTGATTCTGGTGTGACCTGGGCCGTGGCTTACAACAGAGCTTTCAGGACCTGGTAGTTCCCACAGAGAATCGGGAAGGGGATCCTGCTCCTTTCAAGAAGTTTCAGCGATCGATTGCACTGGGAGTATGAGACTGAAGACTCCAGAAAAGCAGCTGGATCACCGGGCTGGCCAGAGCAGATGAGGTGAAAGGGCACAAGCTTTCTTCCCCAGAGCTGCAGCAGCTGCAACGTCACTCCTCAAGAGTCTCCTTTCATGTCCTGTTGCCTGTCCATAAATCATAAATCGCCTTCGTAAGGGTGCCGCCTCCAGGCACGGTGAATGGATACCGCCTTCAACTATTTGAATGATGAAGGCGTCACCCTCCTGGACAAGATCTAGGGTAATCAAGACATGCAAAGCTCACTCAAGCCAATTGGTCTGTCATGCTCCTTGGCTGTTCTCCATGCAAATCCAAGTTTGAGCTTCTCAATCCTTCCAACTAGCAGAAGTGACAGAAGTGGCCAGAAACAGAAGTGGTTGGAGAAGAAGTACAAGCGGCAGTACTAATTAGCAGAAATTCAGGAAGCAGAAGTGGCTCATGTGCTCCTCACACGTATTTCTCATTTGCACCATTGTCCAATCTTTTGAGTGCCAGACCATGGCTGGGAGCCAGACCGCTTCTTCCCACCTTTTGCGGTCAGTGAAGAGGTTTGGGCCGCTCCGAATATAATATAGCCCACAGCAGCCGCAACCATTTCGAAGCCACCGTGCATATTCCAAAAGAACCGGTGCAAGCTGAAACTGGTGGTCCCTTAGTTTTGGGCTCCGATCTGATCATAAGAGAGGTGCATGCATTTGTTCGACACTTCAGCTTTTCTTGAACGGAGTTTCCAGCCTATCCCCCGGGCTCTTATGACCCTCTTTCATTCCTTCCTCCCTCAATACCTTCGCTCCATCCACCCCTAAAGGGGTAGTGTAGGGATGGAAACAGTTGCAGTTGCCCACAGGTTGCTGCACCTTATCATTCCCAAGGCTTCCAAGGCATTTCAAATCTTGTTCGGTTCAAGGGCAGCTTAGCAGTTTAGATTTCTTGTTTTCTGTTTCTCCCATAGACCTTGAAACCGCTACATGGATGTTGACCTGTCAGGCTACTCCGATGGCTCCATAGCAGTGTGGTCCATGCGTGCAACAGAGGCTTCTTGGCTTGCCAACATGTAAATCCAACATGTAAATCGTACAATTTTGGGCCAAAAGTCGACTTGCGTTTCACTGTCGAAATGGACCAGTTGTGAAACCGACCCTTTGTCATCCTTTGTCAGGCTGTTTTGGTACTGCAGGGCCACCAGTGCGATGTCACACGTCTGGTGCTCTTGGCATGTTATATGCATGTGTGCCCGCATGGAATTTGGACACCCGAAGCTGGACACCGGCAGATTGCATGGATTCCCTTAGTAGCAAGATTTTCTGTGTTTTTCTAGGGGTGTTTGAAGTTGCCAGAACATACTTTTTCAGGTCAAATACTCGCGAAAGGCAAGAAAGACACCATGGAAGCATCCAATCTCAGTGAAGTGATCCTCTGCAAAAAACACATGTTTTTGGTCACTTTGCTGCTCGAACCCACACAGAGTGTTGAGTTCGTGATTTTCGGCGAAGTGCGAAGTGGCCAATTGCAAATCCTTCAATGGGGAGTGTGGCAACCGGCGGAAGAATTAGGGGTGTTTGCTTCCGCAAAAGTGGTCAGCCAGACCTGGGACTTCTGCCTGACAGGTCTGGCTCGAAGAGCCAACCTGGGGTCCCGTGCTGTACTCTGGTGGAGGTGATGGGAAGGCAGGAAAGATGTTCTGAGAAAGGACATGTTTGAAGAAAGTGACAACTTTTTCCATGACTCAAATGGTCATAAGATTCATGAAGTGCTGCACTTGTTGGGTCTTTCACCTCTCAATGTCTTGGGCAGGTGACCACTTGGAACCTCAACGGCAATGCAGAGGACTTGTGAGATGAGCAGAAGGTGGATGTGTATTGAATAGGGAGACACCCAACTAATGGGTTTTGGTCTATTTTCCTTCCTCCAGGGTCGAACTGGGAGGTTTTCCAATTTTAATACACACTCATGAGAGGTTTTCCACATGGCGGCGAGCGCTGCATCGAACAGAGACACCAAGTGGCGAGCGCTGCATCGAACAGCCCTGCACCACTCCGTGGCGAGGACTTTGCCTTGTGGGCTCCTGCGAGCGGTCGATGGCATGATTAGTCTCCAAAGTCTGACAACTCTGAAATTGACAAGCAAGAAAGAGCTTTGCGCTTTAGCTAAGCTCTTGATTGCAAGTTCACTCCGATTCAAGCCGTTACCTTGATCTCCGCTCGTTGACCAGACTTGCATTGACTTGCCCCGTGGAGGCGGTACATCTTCCTAGAAACAACTTGGCCACACACACGTATATAGGATGCGCTGAATACCAAAGTGCTTTTGTACCATGTGATTGTTTTTCCTACTTTCAGAACATGCACTGCCAGGTGGGCTGAATCTCTTAGATCGTGGCTCCAATCTCGCACCACAGGAGCTTCAGTGTGCAGGGTGAGATCAACTGCAAAAATTGCGGGTCGACTAGCTGGAGGGCTACTACCATGAACGAAATGCATCATTACTGAAAGCACGATGTGGCGCTGAGTGCAGGCTGCTTCAGCGAGATTCCCTGCAGCATGTGTTCAGGCTCTCCCATTCTAACCCAGCTGTCCCTTCTTTGACCAAAAGAAATTGCTTGAAGACTCAATCGTTTTGGGCCATCAAGGACAATGATGCGGCCCTGAGTGCTTTTGAGCCGAGCTTTGACGCGGCGCCTGCCATGATGGGAGGCACCTCTGCATTTGCCAAGGTTGTAGGTACAAGTCGCAGGAGGTATATTCTTGATCAATGTACTTGACGTTCCCAAGAAAGACAAATGGTGGAGAGGAGAGGAGAGGTTCTCTGAACCTTGAGAAAGCTCGCTCAATGGGGTCTTGAGGGACCATGGCCCGGTCCCGGTCATGGAGACCGTTTGTGGCCCGTTGAGGCTATTCCGATCCCTTCACCTTGGGCGAGTCTCGCCGAGTGAATCCACAGGCGGGTCGCGAAAGCGGGTCTCGAAGGGGTCGAAGGGGTCCACAGGGAGAGGTGGGATAGATGGAGCACGATGAGGAGCAGTTGTATGCAGTTGTTCTTTTTCCGTCCTGGTCCTGCTTTTTAGGTAAAAACGCCTTGTCTTGTGCAGACATCTTGCAGAGTTTTGAGACGACATCGGAGGCCTTGAAGACAGAGGAGTCAGATTCGGACAACGAGTTGGTGGATGCATTTCATTAGACGCGTAGCCATGCGTAGCCCAGAGCTCAGTAATACTCAGCGCTTCTCGAAAGGGAAGGATTTAGAAAGCTGGAGGCCATCGCTCTTAGGTTGGAGGCCATTGGTAGTTGGAGGTTATCGCTAATAGGTTGGAGGCCATCGCTAGCTTAGTAAGTTGGAGGCGCCAGGTTGGAGTCGGTTCTGTTTGCTTCACGACTCGAAGTTGAGCAATGAGTGCAGAGTGGGGCACGGATGCACTGGAAAATGGTGCCTCGGCCCCGGTAATCGCTTGGAAGTTTCTTCCTTCACTTCTCGAGGTTTTTGGGATCTCGGTGCAGAGACTCTGAAGGCTTGGAACAGTTGAGAAAAGTTGTGGGTGATGGTGAGACTGATAGAAGTGATGTGATTCTCGTGAATGTTCCGTGATTTGCTACAAGATTCATCCAGATTCCCATGGTTTTCTTCTAGATTTTGGGTTGGAGGCCTACTAGGGGCTCCCGGCCTTACTACTAGGAGCAAGGACGCTACTAGGCTGGAGGCCATCGCTTGTAGGTTTCTTTTTCATCCTTTTTCGTCCTCTCAGCTGACGAGGCCGTCCTAGTTGTGACGCCCGGGCGGAGCGAACTCGAAGAGACTCGCAGAATCGACGCCCCGTCGCCAGGTTCGGGTTGAGGAAAAAGGGATGACTCAGTGACCAGGTGGAGCTTAGTGACCAGGTGGAGCTCTTGCCAAGTCCACACGCAGTCTTTAAAGTCCAAGGGTTCAAAGTCTACGTAGTCTTTTGGCAAGGTGGAGGGACCTTAGTCAACGTACTTTTGCAAGTCTTTGAAGGGTTGAACAATGTTGACACATGTTGAAACGATTCTTCGGAGGGTGACTCACATGATATTCACAGACACGCAAGTGGGCAAAGCTGCGCGGTGCTGGCGAAGCTCCTTTTGGTTTTGCGAGCAAGTGACACAGCTTTCCAGATTTAGCCGGCCACTACGAAGGACTTTCTTTCCAGATCATATATATATATATAATATATATATATACACACACCTGTCTCAAGCAAAAACAACCACAAACTGTTGTGAGTCACGAACATCCACAAAGTATATGTTTGTTTTGTTGGTTTCTCTTTAGAATTCAGTACAGCTATGTACAGCTTTTAATGTTGGAGTGTTGACCACTTGCAATGATTTGTATTGATTTGTGAGTTCATCAGCAAGCAGCTGTTCTCACCAGCCGGTTGCGCCATGAACTCACCCCGCGCATGGTGGCAACTGCCGGATGGGGATGGGGATGATGATCATGGTGAAGAGGCGAAGGCATTCGAACAAAATGGTCCGTCCTTGTTGCTGTAGCACTTGATTGGCTAAACACGAAGGCCACTTGAACCCAAAGAAGTAGAAAGTAGCTCACTTAGATCCAGGCCCGCAAGAAGAGCTAGCTGAGGAGCTCAGTCCACCCAAAGAAGCCCTACTTGAAGCAGAGATTGACCTACAGGGTGTGACATGCTGATTATGTGTTAGATATGTGCTTTGACTGAGATCAAGGAATGAGTGTTTAAGTGAAAGCCTGTGCCGCAGGTTCACATTCTTGCAGAGCCTGGCACACCGGCTCGTTCTCAAAGCAGTGGCACTGGAACGGAAGGCCTGCTTGCTTCCAGTTGCAGCAGCATGTTTGCAAGAACTAGATTGTAGCGATTGGTGCCACGAAATTGACCCACTCCCAGAAGAAATCTCTTCGCCCAAAAGCTTTTGATGTTGGTGCCGTGCCAGCGTGCCAGATGCACGGAATGGCGCGGAATGACTCCCGAATGACCTTCAGTTCTTTGAGCATGCATTATCGGTGGGAGGCCATCGCTAGTAGGTTGGAAGCTATTAGGTCTGCCTCCCAGTTGTAGCACTTGGTGCCAGGTCTCGCCGAAGGGTGGCAATCCCTGCGGCTTGCCAGCAGCACCATGAGGAGGGGAAGATGGCGGAGTCTCTCAGTGCCTCCAGTAGGGCGAAGAACGTTCACCGGACGAAAGAGACGAAGGTCTTTTCTCTCCAAGTCTAAACGAGTCTAGTAAGGCACTTGTAAGGCACTTTTCTTGTTACTACTAGTAAGGCACTTGTTACTAGAAGCGATGCACTTGTTCCTAGTACACTTGTTCCTAGTATATAATTATATATATGGCCATCTCACCTTTCATGCACCCCTTTCTTGTCCATGTTTCTGCTCAAAAAAGCACCTGGCACAGATCATCCGAGATGAAATCCAAGCCGAAGCGCTTTCAGTGGTGGGCTCAGATTAGAGAGTTTTTTTGGTGTGGGTGTGTGCTCAAACGACGTCACCTCCCTTCTTGGACTAAACCCATGGACCAAGTGACTTCTCTCCCTCCACAAAATCGAAGCCCGCGAACAGCATGGGCTGGGAATCCAGCACGGCCCAAACGAGGCAAGTGCTCAACCAGTGGATTCGGCGACCGCCCGATCGTGCCGGCGGCCCAGCCCCGTGCCGGTGGAATGGGGCCAAAACAACCGGAAGCGTAAACGGGGTACATGGGAGCAAGATGTGTTCCACTCTTGGGAGACTTGACTAGATACTTGTAGTAACAGTATAGTATATTATCTTCCAAGGTGAATGGTCTGGTTGGGAAGGGACTCCTTGGGATCTGAAACATGCAAGTGTTAGGACCCTCACTTGTATGCCATTTTGGCTCAAGTGGGGTCCGGGGGATTCTTTCTTTGGGCCATGCCGCCACTTGCGTCCTCTACGCGCGCGCAGTGGAGCGTGGGCGCAAGACGGTGGCGTCGCGATCATCGAGGCCAAGATCCCCGCGACCTGAGTGTCGAGAGTCGATTGAGTTCGCTCTCGGCACGCTCGGCCTACATCCTCGCTCATTGGGAGCGGGTGGACCGCCGGCCGGACGTCCCGGCTGATTTCTGCCGTGCCTGCGGCTGCTGGACTTCAGGGTGGTGCGAAGGGTGCTATCTTCGAGCTCCACCGGAATTCTCCGCGCTGTGCCAATCTTGTGACGCTGCTCACCGAGTCTGTGACCGGTGTGGTAGCGCTGGAATCACTTGGCAGGCCGGCCACGATGCCTTCGAGGCGACCCATGGCCCCGAGGACCCCAACACCATCTACATTTCCGGCTTCGGCGAGCGGGAGGGGGACCCAGCCTTTAGCGAAGTCCAGGACTCGGTCTCCATTGCCGCGCTCGCGGAGCAATTGGGAATCTCAGAGCAGGCCGTCCGCGAGTACCTCATCCAGGCCCTCGGAGGTGCTCAGGCCGGGCCAACCGATGGAGCAGGAGCTGCAGGATCTGCTCCAGGACAAGCCTGATGGCCTGAGGGAGTTGTTGGTCCTTCAAGGGGCCCAGACCTGCAGTGATGTGGTTGGTATGTGGGCTAGCAGCCAAGAGCTTTTGCAGGAGGTGGAGCAGGAGATTGGGTCTCTGCCCCCCGACCATGAGTTTGCGGTCGCTGCATTTTGGACAGTGGCATCCGGTCGGGCACATAGCGCCCGAGCTAGGGCTCAGCGATGTTTGGAGGATCATCGACGGGCATGCATTTCCATGCACCCGGTTCCGTCTGGGACGGACACCACTGTGCCGCCGTCGGGCGTCCGTATACGCCACCTTACATCCACAGGCCCTAGCTCCGCGGCTCCTACGATGATTCAAGATGCTGCCCACAACCCCCATGCTCGTGAGGTCCTCCAGAAGAACGCCAAACTGGAGGCCATGTTTGAGTTGTTGATGGAGGATTTCCTCGACCTCGAGGAGCTCGGCGTGAACAAGGCAATGATGCGCGACCCTGTGCGCTGTCAACTGCTCAAGGAGACGGTTATGCCTGCGGCTAGCCGTGTGTCTCCGCAACGAGCAGGCGCGCTGGTGGGAGCCCTGAGGCGATGGCGCCTATACGCCTTGGACAACCAATTCCACGTCCGTACACCGACGCCTCTTCAGCTGAGTGCTTTCTTCAAGGCCGTGGCGGCCGGAGGACCGACAGCGGCCACCAGCATGTACCATGCCCTGAAGTGGTTTCGCCAGCATTTTGCCATCCCCTTTGACCTGGATCATTGGTTGCTGCAGCCATACAAGTTGCTCCCTATTGATCACACGGTTCAACAAAAGCAGGAACTGCAACCTTGGGAGATGATCAATCTGCTCCTCCGCCTCCGTCAGGCGAAGGGTACACATTTGCTGTTGTTGGCTATGTTTATTTGGGCCGCTACCTCCTGCATTCGCTTTGAACACTTTCAACGTTCCAGCTTTGTGGGGGCGGCGGACACCTTCCTCATTTTCAAGTGTGCCCAAGGCAAGGCCCGGCGTCAGGGTACCCGGCCTGCCTATGAGTGGGCCATGCCGGATTTGGTCTTCCGAGGGGCCAGCCTCTTGAAGATCATACAGGACTTTGTCCTCCACGAGACCCTGCCGGATGTGGGGTTCCTGTGGCCGGCAGTGCAACTCCAGGCTGATGAGCTTTGGCAGGTGACGGAATCCACCCCGTGGAACGTGTCGAAGAAGATGTCCCGCGGCCGCTTCCTCGAACTGATGCGGGGCACTTTGATGGATGTGGGCGTGGATCCCGCTCAAGCCCAAGTGGCAGGGTTCAATCGGCTGCGACGCTTCCTACCGACGCTGGGTCAGATTTGTCGGTTGGATCCGAATGACCAGCAGTCGCTGGGTAGCTGGGTAGAGGTGCCGAGTGCTGGAGGCCCCACCCCCCAGCGAAAGAGTCGTGCTACGTGGAGTATGGGCGTGCACTATGCTGGCCAGAAAGTCGTCCACAGTGGCCTTCTCAAGGTTGCCCTCATCAAGCGGTTTCTTCACCTGTGGCAACGCAAGCAGCCCGAGCTTGCCCTGACCCACGATGGACTGGTGCCACGGGATGCTTGGTCGTGGCAGGAGCTCGCTTCAGCCAACGAGCACTTCCCGCCACTTATGGATGCTTTGGTGCTCCCGGAAGTGTCTTTGACCCCCGAGGAGATGGCCCAGCCGGTGCTCCCTGTCACGGAGGTGGTGAAAGATGAGGTGGAGCCCGACAACCTGTCGCCGGTGGCAGGCGAAGGCGATGTGGTTTCCGTATCGTCATCTACCACGTCGATGTCGGCATCAGATGTTTCAGCCGAGGCGTCAGACCTTGAAGGCATCGACCCCCCCGGGACCTTGGGGTGCGAGGGCAAATGGTTCGTGCAAGCCTCCCGAGTTCACCTGGCGCAGGGCGAACTGGAGGGAAGGCTCCTCCCTTTCTGCCGGGACGCGGCCTACGCCCAGGACCCAAAACAGGTCGGTGAAGGGTTTAACACCCTCCCGAAGAGCGCTATATGCCAGAGGTGTTTGGCTCGCATGCCACGGGCCCTATACAAGGCCCTGGCCGACACTTGTGGGTGGCTCCACTGATCGACCACCCTATGGCTATGAAAAGTGCGCATCAAGCCTTGTTGGGCCGGGTTTGGGTGGGCGCGGCTGGGGGGGGGGGAGACCGCCCGCGAACCTGGTCGTTCGAGCCTCGAGTCGTCGCCGTTTTTGTGTCGTTATACAATTGGGGTAGGCAGTCATTATTTTTTTCCCAGTGTCCCCGAGGCCCGGAGTACGCATGGCCATGTGTCCACCGGTGTAGTGTGGGGGGGTTTTGTGAAGCTGTGCCTTCCTACCGTCCTCCGCTCCCGTGATCCTGGCCCAAGTCTCTGCCCGGGCTCTGCATCAGTCTTTCGTCCTGTGAGAGAGGCAGGATGACGCACGCCTCCCACATTGACGTCTATGCTGATGACCGTGGATTGGCTATGTGTTTCCAAGTGGCCAATCTCCTTCCCGAATGGTCCAAGGAACTCATCACCAAACACCGTTGGGAGACCCTCGAAGACTTCGTCTACTGGTTTGATGATGTGAATATGGAAGATTCCTTGACGCAGGTGCTGCTGACCACTACCTTGAAGGAGAACCGTCTGGCTCGTTCACGCTTGAAGGCGGCGCGAGCAGCGGGGTTGGCAGCTATCAAGACTGCGGCCGCTGAGCAAAAGCACGTGGACGCCCCGGATGAGATCCTCCCAGATAGTACCATGCAACAGATGTCGCGAGACTTCCAGGCGAAGTACAACCTCACGTTGGACCCTATGCTGGAGCCCTCGGATGCCCTACGCAGCCGGTGCTATCGTGAGTTCCGCAAGCGCACTATGACAGTCATCCCAGCCAGCAAGATTCGTTCCATCCTGCACCAATCTACTCCTCGCCTCCAGGAGGCCGTCAGACTGGGATCTGGCGTGCAGCTGGAGTTTCAAACGGAGGAGGGGCGGGTGGTCAAGACAGTGGTGGACCACTATTGGGCGCTGCGAACTCTGGCGTATGCCTGGGGCTGGGCCGGACTGTTCAAGCAGCAGGACTTTGACAAGCAAGAGCGCACCTTCATGCCTTTGGATCAGGCCTTGACCTATGCGGACCATGCATTGCAGTCAACAATGGAGTATGGCCATGGCAGCTTGCTCTGGTTGGAGAAGTGTGACACTCTCACCAGATCCAAGATGGCATCGCTGGTCCGACGAGGTTACACTGGAGGCAGTGCCCTGGCTGAGGCCCTGCGCCAAACTCACCTGGAATGGCGCTCACCGGCATTGCAGCCTTCTATGGCTGAGGCGGCGCCGGCCAAACGCAAGGCCGCCGAGATGGTTCTGGCGGATGAGAAGGCCCAGCCGCCCCGCCGCCAAATCAAGTCAGACCGCTGGCCCACGGTGAGCCAGATCAAGGGCGGCCAGAGGTTTTGCAAGCCATGGAATGATGGCCGCGGGTGCCAACAGGCCAAGTGCCCCAATATTCACAAGTGCGACGTGAAGCTCTCCTCCGGCAAGCCGTGCTCTGCAGGCCATACTCGCCTGCAGCACTCCGAATAGGGACAGCGCCCCCTGGGGGCCTGTGAGCCCCGGGGGGGAAGCGGAGCAGCGGCAGTCAATGCAGCCCCCTTGCATGGTGGAACCATCTTTGGAGACCTGCCGACGGGTGGTTCTGGTTGATGATGATGCTCCTCTTCAAGGTCCCCTGGATGTCGCCGCCCGGTTGACTGCGGCCAAGCCTGTGAGCTGGCGCGGGCGGAGTGATTTGCCGCAGTACCCATGGGCTAAACCTTTCCGTGGCACCTGGTTGGTTATTGACCTATGGGCCGGTGTAGGGGGTCTTTGTGTAGCCCTCCTGGCCATGGGGATTCACTTTTATGCCCTCAGTGCTGAAAGTGATCCAGATGCGGTTCATTGTGCAACTCAGGCCATGCCCAATATCGTCCATGTCGACCAGGTTGAGCACGTGCGGGCTGCCCTTTTCTGTGGTTTCCTTCAGAGGCGCCAACCTCGGGGCATCCTGGTGGGGGGTGGCTCCCCTTGCCAGGGCAACTCTTCGCTGAACCGGCAACGCAGAGGCCTGGATGACCCGCGGTCCCGGCAGCCGATGGAGTTACAACGTATCGTCCAGGAGCTTCGAACTCTTCCTGAAGCCTCTGGCCTGGAGATTGTGGTTTTCCTGGAAAATGTTGCCAGTATGCCTGCCACTGTTCGTGACCAGTACAGTACATGGATGGGATGCCGCCCTATCTGCATGGATGCGGCCAGCTGTGGATGGGTGCGCCGCAGGCGCCTGTTCTGGCTGGGCTCGCTCGCGCGGGGTGTCCAAGCCGACACACCCCCGCCTGAGTCCTGGACGTGGGCCCAGACCGAGGCTGATGTCCCTACGCTTCGCTTTGCTGGAAAAAAGCCGGCGCCGTCTCAGGTGTGGTGGAGTGGTCCCTACCTCCCCCTGTTAGACCCGGCCCAAGTCCTCCGTGCTCACGGAGGTGGAGCTATGCATCCATTCACACGTGAATTTTGGCACCCCGCTGATCGTGTGCGTGATGCCACCCCAGCGGCAGTTGACAGGTTCCACCAAGACCACCGTAGGTTCCCCCCAGCGGCATATGAGGAATCATCTTTGCTCTGGTCGGGGTCTACTTGGAGAACCTTGCACCCGTCGGAACGGTGCCAACTCATGGGGATCCCTCCGGACCTGGTTGAACCAGTTCGGGGGTCGCCAGCACGGCGTACTCAGGTCAAGAACTCATTGATCGGCAATGGTTTCCATATCCCCTGTATCATCGCCCTCATGACCATGTTGCCTAGTGTGCTATCCACCAAGCTCCCCTGTCCCCTTTCGGACCATGATGAGCTGGCCCTTCACTCTCGGTTGTCTAACTCGGTCTGGGCACCGGGTCGGTTGAGCATCATGCCGGGGATGCTTCAGGCAGAGGAGGTGGTCTCGCGCTTGGGGGTGGTGTTTCCCTACCTGGACAGCGAATCGCCGGTATGGTCTCTCGTTCGTCCACGACTGAGCTCGTGTGATTTGTCGCTCCTGCAGGCCTACCCAGCATGGAGACATTTGCGTCAGGAGCCCTGGCAGGACTTGGGTCCGGTGCCGATTTGGGGACGCCAACGTACTGATATCTACGCAGGTTTGTCAGGTCAGCGCTACGCGAGCTCGTCCGCGAGAGGCCTTGATCACCTGTTGGTTCCGGGGTTGGGGAAGGAGGCTCATTTGGCAGCCTCGGCTGAGCTGCCGACCCCTTTCCACCCCAGGGATTGGCCTGAACCAGACATCGGGTTTGTAGTTGAGGCTTTGTTTGTATGGCAACGGTTCCTCCCCAAGTATGCCACCAAATTGCGACAGGTGCTGCGCACTGTAGCTACAGCCTTGCTGCCTCTAGAAGAGGCATTGGTGCCTTTCAGATGCCAGGCTGCATCGCAAGTGGCCCAGTGCAAGAAACCCGCCCTCACGGCGGTCCTGGCCATCCTAATCAGGTGGCCTGACCTATCGCTGGCTCAGCAACTGGTTCAGGGTTTCCCTATTGTGGGCTCTATGACCCACTCAGGTGTTTTCCGCCCAGTGCGCCAGGAGGGCAAAGCAGACTTGGCGGAGTGGCTGGGACCCTCTGCCGCTGCTGATATTCAACGGTTGGTACACAGTCGGCCACCTATGCACCACGAGATCATTCATCAACTCACGTTGGACGAAGTTACCAAAGGTTTTTGTAGCCCTTTGAGGACCATGAAGGAGATGGATGACGTTTTTGGCGAAGGGGGTTGGAGAGCAGTTGAAAGGTTCTTGATCATCCAGCCGGATGGCAAGCATCGGGCCATTGACAACGCGCGCAAAAGCGGGCACAACCACCATACAACTATGCCTGAGACGATCTCTACAGTCAATGTTGACTTCGTGGCAGCCCTCGCTCGTATGGTTGATTCGGCTTTTGCCCTGGACCAACTGCCCCCTCCGGGTTGGTTAGACCTCCGTCTGGGTACGGATGATCTCCCGGATGCTTACCGCGGTTTGCCTGTTTGTGATGAACACCTCTGCTACTCCAATGTCGCCATCTACGTCCCGGACCAAGGGTGGCGCTTTACTACTATGTTTGGGCTCGCCTATGGCTTGGAGAGTGCTGTGGTTAACTTTAACAGGTTCCCGCAACTTGGGGTAGCCATTGTGAGGCGGTGCCTCCTTGGCTTCGCTGCGGCTTACTTTGATGACGAACTCGCTGTTGACTTTGTCCGCGACCACGATGTGTCTCAGGTTGGGTTACAACTGGCCTTCAAGTTACTGGGTGCACCGCCCCAGCCTACGAAGTCCTTTGCACCTGGCCACAACCGACACTACCTCGGAACTTCTGTCCATGTAGGCGATTTTGTCACTGAAGGGTTGATTCGGTTCCAACCAAAGTATTCCACGTCGACCAAAATTTTGAAGAAGCTGCGATCCGCCCTGGACACTTCCACGTTATCCCCCGACGATGCCGGCAAGCTCCGGGGTGACCTTAACTGGATGTTCTCCATGTGCGCCGGGTACGCGGGTCGCATTGGCGGGCCATTGTTGGCCGCCAAGCAGAAGTCAGGGTCTGCAGACCTGTCTCCGGAGGACTGCTTAACCCTGCGTCTTCTGGCAGCTATAGTAGCCTGTCCGGAACCGAGGGTTATTTCAGTTCGCTCCAAGCCTGCGGCTCCTTTGGTTATCTACTCTGACGCTTCCTTTGAGAATGATACACTCCGGCTGGGCTGGGTGATCATGTGGAAGCACATGTCCCCTTCGGGCGTGACTTGTGAAGTCCCTCGTCGAGTTATACATGGCAGCCACGAACGCAGCAGATCTACCCTGGGGAAACCCTTTGCGGACTGCTTGTACCATGGTTTCATGGCGCTTCTTTGGCTGACTATGACGTGCTTTGGTTTGTAGATAATGAAGCTGCTGTCGCCTCGTTAATCAGGGGTGGAAGCTCCCAAGCTGATGTACACACCCTTGTTCAACTAGCGCACTACTTCCTGCAAACCTTTCGCGTCCGAGTGTGGTTTGAGTGGATTGACAGCCATTCTAACCCCTCTGATGGCCTTAGCCGGGCTGGTCTCAGTGATGCATGGACTCAGCACCAAGCATGGCACCTTTTTGAGTTTATTTTTCCCTCTGCTCTCGAACAGGTGGCCCGTCCAGAGGACCTTTCCTCATTTCTCCCTTTATGGACAGTGGGTGATTCTTGTGAGTGACAGTGGGTTGGATGGCAAGTTCATCTAAGATGACTTACCAAGCTAGTCTGT